AACTCTTTAACGAGCAGTAAAAGAAATTTGAAAAAAAAGGTAATCTCTGTTTTCAGTAGTTGCGCATATTGCAAAATAATTAATCTGCAAAGATTACATCAGATAATATCAAGATGGATTCCAACCTGTTTCTAAAATCTTAACAAACACGTGCTGCCTATTTACAGTAGAAGCCTGGCAGCCTATCAAATTTGTGCCACAGAAAATAAGAGAAGAAGAGCTTTGATTTCAACACCTTTGTTATGAACTTTAAACATGAACCTCTCCTCAGCTCTATAGCTGTAGCTTCAACCCCTGAAAGGGCCTGCTGAATGGTCCCACGGTTCTTTCCCATGCATTTGCAATCAGGCACACAGTCTTGGTCACTCCTCTTGCTCAATTATAAATCTAGGGGTATCCTTTTCCTGATGCTTTAATAAACTTGAACTTGGGTGGCTAACTGTGGGATGCTCCTGAAGGGCAATGTAGTAACTTGAAGACACTTGTTACTCAAAGCTTCCTAGCTCAGTTTTGCAGCAGCACATAATGGACTCAACTACACAGGGACACCGTAAGGAATGTCGACCTTTCAACACAAGCTGGCACTGCTGTATGAGGGATAGTAGTAGCACACAGTCACTGGGATCTCACACATGGGTCTGTACTCACAAATGTATATTTGGAATGTATATTATGGATATTTGGAAGCATCCTTCCAATATCAGCCAGATATGTCTCCTGTGGGCTTTTCAGTCCAGATCCCCAGATAAATCCTTTGGTCAGCTCCAGCAAAATTCAGCAGCTTAACCTCCCCAGCTAGGACCTTGATGAGCAAATGAAGAAGCACAGCTGGACTGCCCAGAAGGCGGAAGGACTGGGAACTCCTGGACAAGAATCCCTCTGCTCTAGGCCTCAAACTATTTATGCCCTCTCCTAGCCACCTACTGGGTACCCTCCCTGGGGACTGTGACTACATAAATATTCAGGTCATAGATTTGACTCTCCCAGCGCACTACTTTCCATAACCATCCAGAAGGAAGGGGGATGCAGTCAAACCCACAACCTGTGAAGTTCAGAGCAGCCCAAAACAATTACAAACTGCTTCACTGATTACAAAGGAGTTAAAGAACTAAGTTTACCTAACCTAGCTAGCACCTAACTAGGAGGGTGCTACAGTACATTGCTATAGAGGGTAAAATATTAAAGTGATTTTACTGCTTATACTGCACTACAGTATACAGCAAACCCATAAGAAGCATGTATATAGATCATGTGTATAGAGAACCATGGCATGGCTATATTTTCAGTAGACTTCAGAGATTATCTGCATTTTCTTCTACAATCCAAATGTTCCCCTCGTGGTTCTAATTGCTGATCTAAACCATGAGTATCCAGTATTGGTTGGACAAGAAATATAGCAATGGTGAAAAAACAATCGCAAATGTTTCTTCTTCATTCACTTCAGTATGATTGAAATGTGTATGTTATGGATAATTTATATGTGCTAAACTACTATATGCAGTATACATGTAAGGGAAGGTAGGCATTATTGGCTTGATTTAGTAAAGCCAAATTGGCTGCTCAGTTTGCTAGGAAAATTTCACTCTGCAGAGGAATTTTCACTTATTAAATGAGGTGAAACTCTGCTGACGTCTATCATCAAATTATATGCAAGCAATTTTTTCCTTTGCATGTGATAGGGTATTATTTGTAAAGTGAATTTTCACAACATTCACAATGCTAAGGACAACTTCCCTTGCCAACTGAACAGCCTATTTTTCTTTAGTAAAGAACCCTCTATATGCATTCTTGTTGATATATATTTATATTTGCAGAGAAGTTACATTAGCACCTTTTTATAACCAAAGAAATGTAGCCAGAGCCTCAAATGGTCCACGTAGTCAGTTTTTGGGGTTATAACCTTGTAGAAATGTCAGTGTTCTTTACCTTTCTTTATGTCTTGGAAAAATGTAATTGGACAGCAGAGAAAGTTTATTATTGAATTCCAGACGTTGCACTGAATCATCGTTTAAGACTTTGCCAGTGTATATTGGAAGAGTTTACTGAAAGGTATGTAATAACTGTCTGTTTTCAGCATAAGAAAATTAAACAGTTTGAAGCAAATAAACTTTTCTGAAACAAAGTAACACTTCATATATCTTAGATTTAAAAATCATCTTGGGTTTATTCAAACTTTGCCCATATTAACGGTTGTTAAAAAAAAGGCAGGTAAGTCATCTAAACTTGATCTCCAAGTCCAAAAGACTCAGGAAAAAGGCAGTGAGCTTTCCCCGCAGGGCTCCTCTGGCTCGGGGATATGTGATCAGGCAGGACCGGATCCCTTCTTTAACTAATATCTGCCAAAAGCTCAAAATCTGCCAAAATCATCATTCTTCATTTTAGCCTTAAAGGTGGATAAACCTCTATTTTGGTCATTGTTTGAACTGCCTGTTGCCATAGGCAAGCTCAGTGGTAATAACACTATTGACCACATGGTGGTACCCTTTAATCACTTCTCTTTTGACTTTAACACAATTTCTGGAATGTCTGCAGTGCTTAAGTTAAACCTTGGCTTTTAAAAAAAAGAACTTCACCTGTGCTGCTTACATAGCATATATATCAAATATTTGTTAGTTTACCAGATTAGATAAGTAGTCAAATGTATTATTTAAAGACACTGAAAAAAACTGAAAGCGACTGAATAGGTAAACAAGTAATAACACACAGAGATGTCTTCGTATGTATCCTGTTATTGTAGTGAAAATATCAAACGTACTACAACTTTAAAGTGTAGTTTACGTTATTTCAATGACTGAAGTAGAATATTGATAAGGCAGAACAAGGAGTAATATTGGCAGAGTAGTAACTCATAGCAACCCACCATTCAGCACATAACAGTCACCAAGGAATGTGAATGAAAGATTATTGAGTGGTTGCTATGGGTTATTGCACTTTGCAGTTATTGAAAAATCCTTTTTGAGTAATAAAGAGCAAACTGAATTGCTCATCATATTCCACATTCTTGTAAATGTCTTTGCCAGTATTATTTACGCCGGAACAGTATGTTCGAAGCATATTGTCTAGGGAGGATCTTGGTGGTCTACCCACGTAACTCTGGTGTTTGTACGTCATTTTCTGTAAATGAAGAGGGAAAAAAATGGAATGGAATGGACAGGAAAAAGCAATATTTAATGTCCAAAATGCTTAATGGGGGGATTTCCCCTAAGAGTCCTATGTAAAAACAACAGTTAATCTATGATTCCTCTGTTATCAGGCTCTGTATCTAAACAGAAAATCTCTGACGTTAAATAGTAGTTTGTTGTTTATTATGTCTTTTAAGCAATAATACTGTATATTGTAGTATACTCAAGGCTTTCTTTGTTACAAATAAACTATTCCAAGAGTGGATAAAAGAGTATTTTTTTATCTGTGCAGATGGCTTGATCATGTCTGAGAAATTATTCAAATCACAGTGCTTTTAACATGCAGCTATTTCTTTTCAGCACCACCACCAAACGAACAGCTCCTTTAATTAAACCCACTGAGGTTTTCAAGCCATAAGTGAAATCTGTCAATTATTATCTCATTTAAAAAAATTAAGCATTTAAGGAAACTCTGGAGATCCTTATAATGCTTTAGCAGATCTGTGATTTTCACCCTAATTGTTCCTGTCGTGTGCTCATATGTGTTTGAAGCACACATATAGAATTCTAGCTTTAGTATAAAATTAATGTAATTCATCACTTCATAAACATCTTCTATAACCTTCAGTTCTTTTCTGGATTAAACTTTTTCTTGCAATTTACAATGAAAACTGTATTCTTCTGTCTGTCACCTGTGCTGTCAGAAATAATTAACTGGAACATTTTTGGCAAAGAAGAAGAAAAAAAAAAAAAGCACAAATGTGGTTGAAATGAAGGTAATGTGTATGTCAGAATATTTATAAGAAAACTTGACTGTGATCGGATCATCTGTGAGGAAAGATGAGAATTGCTATTATGTTCCTAGAGGAATTGGCCTGATGACGTCTTTTCTGATACCGGATCATTACGTGACTTACACTCTGAAAAAAAGGGAAGCTGTTTGATCCATGGATAAAAATGCGAGCGCCACCGAATCACAAACAATAGCTGGTATTTAAAGGTAATATGCAGACAAACGTTGACAAAGCAGGCTCTTCCTAAAGTGGCGTTTGCAGAAAATATCTTTTCTCGGTGCATGTGTGTGTATATATATATATATAAATATATGTATATACATACAAGAACGGAGGGCTGGTCAACTTGAATTGCAGCACAAGAAGGAGAAGAAGAAGAAAGCATCTAGAGAAACGCCTCAGGAGAAGTATCTTAGAGAAGATCTGATCTCATTGTTAGCATCTCAGCCCAAGACTCATAACAGGCTGCACCAGGCTCTCCTGCCTCCCTGGCTTACTGCTTTTATATCTCACTCGTATTCACTTCCCAACAGCAACAGATTCTTGTTTTTTTGTTTCTTTCAGTTACTTTTTAGCTAGGGAGGTTGCATTTTATCCTTGATTTTGCTGTTCCTCTGCTATTTTATTCACCTCATCTGGAATTGAGCTTTGTTTTTCCCTTGGAACTGTGGGTTGCTTCAAACTTTTAATCAGAATAGCATTCAGTCTTCGTGCCATCCTAACCTGTCAGACAAGGCAATGCAGACCGCATTCTAAGACCGCACGGAAACTTGCAACACTTGGCTTTAACTTGGAACCCAATTTATCACTTGTTTTTTTTCTGCAACACAGTGGAATTTTTATTTTATATGGTAAGAATCTTGCATGCTTTTATATATTAAACACTTGAATGGAGTCTGCAATTATATAAGCATTTTTTTCAAATATTTATAATAGAAGATAATTGAAATAATTGTGTATGAGTAAACATTATGCTTGCCCTATTTGAATATGCATTGATCTAATTGAGGTCAAATCACACATCGATCTGATTTAATGAGAAGTGCTTGTTGAAAGTGTTTCCTCCACTTCTCTCACCCGCAGAATGACAATGTACAGGAAAGCACTGCTCGTCTGGCTATTGGTGTACGGGATAATGCGCTGCACTGTCCACTCCTCACCTACGGCACTCAAGTACCCAGCACTTAGGTATGTACAAAACTATAGGCAATAACTGTCATAAAAACCTGTAATTATCTGAATGACAACATTTGTACAGATCCAAGGTAGATCTTAGGGGCACACAACTACTACAGCATCAATGGATCAACAAGCTGTGTTTTCTATTGTTTTTTTTTTTATTGTCTGCACAATGTGTGGCAGCTTCTGAATTAGGATGAGGCTTGCAAAGCATCTGATTATCCATTGTGTACTAGGATGCTAAATTCTCAAGTATACAGATATACAGGTATCCCATCTCTTTGACAGAATGCTAAGGGGTTAGCTATGTTTAAGACAGGAGCATGCAGTTAACCCCTTGTTTTCTGTTGCCTCTATGCAGTCCATTGATTTAATTGTTTTGCAAATAAGGCAGTTGTCAACATGGGGTTAACCTCATGCTGCTAAGCAATTAAACCATCAAGTGAAATTGATCCTTTAGTCTGCAGTTCTCAAAAGCATAGCAGTAAAACTGTTCTAAAAAAAAATCTGTTTTCACTTCTTATACATATATATACATTTTATATTTTTTTGTGTTATTCATGTAATACATCCTTGCACAAATCTATACCTTTCAAACTTTTAAATACAAAATACAGAATTTTACATACATTTTGGCAGGATATCTGCATGTAATATCAGTGATCATACCTCTTTAAAAAACAAACTACAAAAGCCGGGGAAGCCCCCACTGCTTCATCTGTCTAGTACTTGCTAGCTCTGCCCGATACAGAAAGCTGCAGTGCTGCTATTGTGCTCAATGAATTAATCAGATGATGACATGTTTAGAATATATCAAAGTTGCCAGTAAAACAGTTGGTGTGATCAGTGAAATGTTCAGGTATTTTCTTCCTACTTGATCTGAGTCAACTTACTGTAGATTCAGAACAATGTGATAAGTTCATGATCTTGACACTGGGATGTATTTATTATACAAGCAGTATTGTACAGACTGTGCCCTGCTATGCTTACTCTGCATCTGACTAATAATATATAATGAAAATTTAAATACTTCAAATACCAAAGACAGCACAGGTAGCAGACTAGTGTTATAACTGGTATTATGATACATATAAATTAATTGATTCAGCAGATTATAGTACTGATCAGAATGGTTAGATATAATAATACACATTGCAAGTTATACTGTTGTAGACATATCATCAGTTGTCTAATGAATCTGTTCCCTATAACACACATAGATTAGAAACAGACAAAACAAAGTACATTTCTTTTTATCAATAGCGGCAGTTTTAGAAAAAAAAATACTTTTGTTAAGAATGGTTTTTCTTCTTTTCCATTCCATGAGACACAAAACATAATTTAATTGTTGCTTTTGTTTAAATAATTACTGTTTTTTTACTGCTTTTGTCAGTCATGCCTTTGTTTTGCCTTTGATTTATCCCACAATCCAGTTACTGAGCTTATAAATAATTCATTATTTCTTCCTAAAATTGCTTACACATTTCAATATAACTATTGTTTTGCTGAAATAAAAAAAAAATATTTTGAGGTATTGACAAAGAAAGTAAAGAGGTATATTTTCCCTAAATAAATAAATAAGTAAATCTTAATATCATTAAAGAAAAAAAAAAGTAAAAAGAAAAAAAACAATATATATATATATATACTGTATATATATATATATTTGTACAGCTGTAATTTGCTCCTTGTGTAGCTCTAAATAAATATTGTTTTTTATAATTAAATGATTTCTATACTTGTTTCTGGCACATGACTCCTATCATCTATGTAGAGTGAATCACTGAAGTTGTAGTTGAAGAAGAGGCAAATGACCAAAATGTTGTCTATATTTGTTATGATTAATGACAGCGGTAATCATAGTGTGTTTGGGTGTGCATTTTCTTCTCTCCTTGGCTATGTTAATCTATATAGTGCCCAATATAATTTGTCTATAGTACTGAGAATCTGACACAGCTAAACTGTGATCCAGATTTAGCAAGAGTAAAACACTTTTGAAACATCTATTATTAATAACACTGCCAGAGCAAACTGACAAAAATAGCTTACGGTGACCTACATCCTAGCAGATACAAAGTAAAAAAAAATCTTAAGGAGGATCTTGGCATGAAAGCAGACAAACCCGTCAAAGTCAGGACCCAGTCTGTCCAAATATACCCCTCCTTCTGTAGGGAGAAGCCGGGTAATGATACTGCTAAGTATTTTCAGTGCTTTGTGGCCAATACTTAGTGCTCTGATTTAATGTTTGGAAGCTGATAGTGTGTTTGATGATGCTGTTCTGCCAATAAAGGGAAGTTGGATCTCTTTAACCCCCCCCCCCCCCCAAGCCTTTCTAATCTCCCCCCTTCCTCCCCTCCACCTCCTATCTGCTCTCAGTTCCCTGTACTAATGATTGTAGGATTTGGCAGCTAGCTCTGGCCCAGCCCCAACCTCAGGTCAGCTCACAGATGGGCTGCTCTTGTTATTTCTCTCACGCCCACCTACAGATTGATAGGGTCTCAGGGGGTCTTTTTCCATCAGCGTCTGGCATCTCATCATTGAACAATATTCAGAGAGAAAAGACCAGTAATGTAGACACTAGAAATGAACCTTTGCCAGGGATTACATTGCTCTGAAAGCCACTGATCAAGTCATTATGCATTTTTTGATTAATTAACAGGCTTACAATTCATTCTCCTTTCTGTTTTTTTTTCCTTTGCTCATTAGGCTTGAAGATGAAGTATATGATGAGGACGGCAACACTCTACCAGACTTTGCTTTTGATAACAATCCGATTGGCATCGCAAATCCAGCGTCGGTCTTTGACGATATGTACTCATTTTATTACCCAGCGGAAAAGAGGTGATTACAGAATTTTCCCCTAAATCACTTAAATTCTGTATAAACTGATTTGTTGCATAGTCGTAAATAACTGAATAAAATCTGCAAACACAGTAATACTGTTTCTGTCTCATGTCAGATCATATTGCAAATTTTGCAATGCATCCAAATTATTTAGTAGGAGAAATATATTCAAAGGGAGAAATGTAAATGTATGGAAATTAATAACATTCAGTGCTAATCAGGTGGCATCTTGCAAGTAAGCAGCATTCTGGGAAAGAACAAAACTATACGTATATGTTAATGCAAGAGAGCATTGTGATACAGTGATGAGAGATGTGGGGGGGGGGGAGGGATATTTCAGGCAGAACATGTGAATGAGAGTAAAACATGACCCTGTGACAAATCAGCCTAGGGATAGTCAGGAAGCTATAATGGGCAACTACACCCACCCCTCCCTGTACACACACAGAGACACACACATTCCATTGAGAAATGCTTCTTTCTTGAAAACAACACATGTTGATGTCAGATTTCCAGGAATCATCTTTCCTTTTTTATTTTTTTTTTTCTTTACTGTTAGACATGCTGATGATCTATTAAACAAAGCCTATAGGAATTTACTGGGGCAGTTGTCTGCGAGGAAATACCTGCACACTCTGATGGCCAAACGCTTAGGGTAAGGCTGTGTTCTTAAAACATAGTATGTGTGGAGATTCTAAAAAAAAAAAAAAAAAAAAAAGCCACAAACATGATTCTAAGTTTACATTTAGTCCTATTTAATAAACTAGTGAAGATGCACAAAAGACAGTAACCCTTAGCAACCAATCAGAATTCCATATCAATTTGTTGCACTTTGCGTTCTGTCCTTTTGTGTCCTATTGTGACCGCTATTAATGCTGAAAAGAAATGCTTCCTAAAAGGAAAAGCATCACCCAGCATCCGTTTCTAATTTATGGAGTTGAAATGTCACGATATTTATTTTTATCATCTGCCTCCATTCAGTAAGACTTTACAGATTTACTCCAGAAATTCAATTATAGTAGGCTGTATTATTTATTCCACTTGGCTCTGCATTTAAATTCTTTGGGGATGGAACACTACCCTTTTATCGTCCAATATGTCAACACTCTTCCTTTGGAATATGCAGCAGGTTGTGTACATTTCTGCAGTATAGATTTCTGGGTTGGGTAACATTTTAATAACACTCAGGGGAAGGCCTTGCTTCATACCAATGAATAATTCATATGATGAATATATTGCCTCCAAACTGTCATTTTAAATTATCCAACTTCATTGTCACCCTATGTGGATTCCTTTTAGTTAGTAAAACCTGTGACTTCCTGTGTCAGAGTTTTACATGTGTTGATTTTGTTAATTTCTCCTTTAAATTTCCAATGGATGCAGAGCCTAATTTAAATATGTCTGTGGGGAAACACACACAAAAATATTGGTATCGAAGTAGGAATGTAGTTGCTCATAAAACAGTAATTTGTATTGAAAATTATTTAAGACCTCCATATTTAACTGCCTAACGATGCACATGTCAGGAAAGCTAATAAAAATGCAGGAGGGCGGGTCTGATATGTAGCACATCAGTTTGCAAGTCTGCCATTCCTCTTGTAGAACCCTTGCCTGACAATGTCACTAGTCTGTATGGCTTTATGTATGATATATCTATTTTTTCTTCAAAGTAATGACTCACTGCTTAGTTAACTGCAAAAAAAAACAATGCCTGCCATTCAAGGGACACTAAGAAGCCATCCCAGACCTTGTCCCAATCACTACATCCATGTGCCGCCACACATTTCACAAGATGAGCATAACTCTTTTCATGCTGTTGACAGTGATTCTCTAGAGGCAATTATGGTAGCAAAAGGAGGGACAGCCCTGTAGTGATTGGTAATGAGACAGAAGCCTTTGGGAATTGTCTAACATGAGGATCAAGGCATAAGGTTGCCTAATGGAGCCTGGGTAGACACCGTGGCAGATGTTTGTACCCTTTGTTCAGGATTTACACAGCAATAATTGGCTTTGACATTAAGATATTTTTCTTGCTTTTTGCCTCCTGGAAGCGATAAGACTTAATTATATATATAAAAAACACACTACTGATGTTGTGTCACCAGAATATAATGCAGAATATAATGCTGTACATTTATGTATTCTGGTGCCAGAGGTGATAAAATAGAGTCTTTTATAATAATTTATGGCCTCTGTGTTACAAGGCGAGACTCAGATGGTACATTGTCAGATGCATCTGTTTTAGGCCAGAATAAATAAGCAAGGGAAGGGGATAAATCAGATCATGAAAATGATCTATACGCAAATTACTTAACAAAACTAGTTTTCTTACTTAAAGTGTGAATAAACTGCTGATAGATACAGACAATGGGGTTGATAAACTAAAGGCAAATAAGCCCTTTGCTTTGCAAGAGAATTTTCCTTTATCTTTGCGAATGTAGTGAAAATTCACATGCAAAGAAATTTTAAAATAAAAACAGTATTTTTGCTTCCACATTAATGAATGATGGAACAATCTATGTGCAATGTGTACAGCCTATATTCCTTAACTGAATCAACCGTGGAATATCTCAAAGTGACAATTAAAAGTATAAAACCGTTTCTCATCTCCAATACAAGATGGGGTAACTTAGTATATGTAAACCATTTCATAGAACAAAACCATTCTGTTCATATACCAATCAAATATAATGGAAGTATTACATTCATTAAGTACTTGGTACCCTAAGACACAGATTTTCTAGAATGGTTAGTAGGCAGGTAACAGTTTCAGACATTTTACAAAAAGGTTTGAGAGTAACTATGCTGCACCTTCCAATTGCATATGAATAGTTCCTCCAACCACTAGATATGCACCTGAGCACCAAAGGTAAAAAGTTAATATTACCTGAGATAAACTAAAATTTACTGGTATATCTAAAAACCGGTGAATGTAATATTACCATATATTTACTGCAAACACATTTTCCTTGTACATGTATTTTAAATTACAGTGATTTATTCACCTGTAGTAATGTTAGGCAAATGTCACATTCACTGATTTATAAATATGCCCCTTAGCATTGCCATTACAATCTGAATCTGTTTAGCGGTATGTGGCACTAATATTGTCAAAGATAGGAAGCTCTTAGTATTATAGTATAGTATAGTACTTAGTAGTATAGTATTTTAATAAATAATCATTGGCTACTTATCAGCAGCCAGTGACCTATCTGATTTGCCCATATTATCAAATCACATGAAATGTCTGACTTATGGTGTGGGTTAATGCATAACTTGTAATATAGTACCCCATTAATAAATTTGGTCAAATTAGCAAGTTTTTAAATCTATAGAAAATAACATTTTAGTTCATAGTGATCCATGTCTACAAATCTCCACTTGAAGGTCAGTTTTGTGAACATTGGTATTGGAGTGGCATTTACAACTCTTATCTGACACCAATGTAGGTAAGGTGAGATAAATGTGTCACTATTAATTCCCTCTGTGGTCTGGACCTTTATTTATGAAAAAAAATCACAGACAAGACAAGCTGCCCTTTTATAAAAACCATTTTTAGGCTTTCATTCTCCGTCTCTCATTTTTCTAAAGTATGCTTGAATCTGATTAGTTTCTTCAAGGCAATGGACTGTCTGAGACAACTCCTTCCTTCAAATCTTTGATCAATACTTTTGGAATGTATCATTTTGGAATGTGGGTCAGATTTACTAAAACTGCTGCACTCAGAATCTGGTGCATCCTGTGCATGATAGCCAATCACCTTCTAACTTCAGCTTGTTTAATCAAGCTTTGGCAATAAAACCTGGAAGCTGATTGGTTTCTCTGCAGAGCTGCACCAGATTTTGCACTCTCCACTTTTAGTAAATAACCCCCAATGTTAGGCTCTAGCTATTGAAAATGTCTGTTGTAGAAGTCTATAGAAAATACACTCAGTCTTCCTCCAAGCTTCCCTATTTTATGGGAAACCCTTATAGACTGGAATAATTGAACTGGCATTGGTACCTATAGTGCAGAAAGAGTTGACTGCAGGAGGACTATTGGCTTGGTAAAATGCTGTATTAACTGTAAGTAATAATTATTCATCTACTTCAGTTCATCCCAAAGAACTGTTGAGTTCTGCTTTGAAAGTACTTTACAGTGTATATACTTGGCAATCTCAGGATGAGTGCATGATGTGGCATGCTAAATATCTAGTTTTTAGGGTATTTAGTAGCATTATTGTGGACAGACAGAGCTGGATGGATGCAGTGTAGAGAGATTCTACTGTAGATTGCAACTCTTGCTTTTTGCCATTGCAGTGCAGTGAGTAGCAGCCTGGAAGATGACTCGGAACCCCTATCAAAACGGCACTCAGATGGCATCTTCACTGACAGCTACAGCCGCTACAGAAAACAAATGGCTGTCAAGAAATACTTGGCAGCAGTCCTGGGGAAAAGGTATAAACAAAGAATTAAAAATAAAGGACGGCGAGTAGCATACTTGTAGCGATGAGCAACCAGCCACCCTGTGTATACAGCCCCAACAAAACAAAAAAAAAAAAAAAAAAAAAAATCATCTCCAAACTGACTGAACAATCATCGCTCCTGTGTTATCTACAAACATGTATTTATGTATGAAGTAAAGCCATTAAATGAATATTTTGATAATAATATTGTTTTTCTTTTGTACAAAAGCACTAGAGAACGCACAGATTTACTTTGTGGACCAATCAATAAGTTATATCTATATATATATATTATATATAAATATACATAAGTGATAAGAAATGATTATAGAGTGTGCACAAAATGATAATTCACATGAGCTGTTTATGTTTTTATAGAAAAAGAAATAGAGAAAAAAAGACAATCATTGTTTTGAATATTTTGCTCCTATTTTTGTAACTTGAAATTAAATGGTTAGTATTTTTATCCGCAACAGGGTTAAGAACATTAGTTTTATTCTTTTGCTGATGGTCACACACAATGATGACCTCATGAACCTAGTGCAAGGGTTAAAAGGATTTCGGAGAATCACTGAAAGACATTGGAGGTTCTGCCCTTGGTGGGTCCTAGCACATGCCCTTTTAAGGTCTCTAGGGGCATTGTTCCTCCTCTTAGATTCCCCAAATGTTGTGCTGTCTTTATTTGACATTTTTATGTATTTATGTTTCCTAAATCGTTTCCTAATAACTCAGCAGCTCTACCAAATTTATGGACTTGTTTATGAGACCGTTTTTTTCCAGTCCTAAACCCTAATTAAATAGTTGATCTTCTTAATGATTGGAATAGGTCACACAGCAAAGAAATCTTGGCAAAGTGGCAAGCATACCTGCTGTTGAGTGGCAATGGGCTGTAAATGTACAAAGCTGAAGCAGAAAAGATAACATGGTGTTGTCTATTGCCAAATAAACCAGTGTAGCCTCAGATGTGATTGGTTGGTTTGGACAACTCCTCTGTATTGGAAGGCCAATTTGAAATTTGGAAATAAGTACAGCGCAGTCTAAAGGAACTGCCCAAAATGAAGTACATGGTTATGGACCTGTCAACAGAGTTGGAAAGTAATGAATGCTCCTTGAATGGGTCCATTACCTCACTGACAATGGGCAGCTTGGTATTGGAACGTGATACAAAGTATAATGTGTTTCTCTCCAGTGCTGTCCATGCTTCTCATCCTGTGAATCTACTAAAATATTTCTTCAGCTCTAACTTAAAGGTTTCTTTCTATGGCTGTCTTCTTGTAGGGTTTTGCCTCTTTCTCCCCTCCCCTTCACCAATTTAGTACTGTCATTCCTTGAATCATTTACTTCAAATATTGTGACAAAAAAGTGTTATGTTTATGCAAACTCTTGTAAAGATAGGATCCCCTGTTGTAGCTACTACTAAATAATTATGCACTACTACTAAAGTTTTGTTCCTTGTTTTTTTGAGTCTTTAAAAGGTAAAATGTATTTTTCTACATTATGGCTATTGCTTAGTAAAAGTTATTTCATAAAACCACGTTTTGTCATATATACATTTTATATATATATATATATATATATATATATATATATATATATATATATATATATAAACGTGTAGTAATCACAAAGCATCAACGGTGTTAGAAAAGAACACAAAGAAACTGAGGTCTGAAGCAACATACTTTGTATCATTTCCATTGTTATCATGCATTTGTCTATATACATGTCTAGAGAGAATGTAAATACTTTCTTTTCTTTTGACTTAAAATGACATAAAGAGAAAACTTCATCTGAGTCACCAATGTCTAAATGAAGAACAGGAACAATGCTAGAGAAAGTGTAACAAACCTTTCAGCTTTTTCTTCCTTCGAGTCTGATCAGAAGGTGATGAATCAAAGGAGCTAGACTTGAGTTCCCTATCGTGGCTCAGCACTGCCAGCTGATCCTATTGCCAGCAGTAGAATTGCACATGGGAATTCAGTCTACACCCAAGTCCTGTGCATGACATCAGTCTTTCATTTTGCATTCTCCTCAAGCAATGTGACGTAGGATGCAGTTTGCAGCTTTCGTGCCTTTCCTCGCCTTTTAAATCGCCACGAATCACAGATGGCTTTTTAGTGGCCCTACAATGCTGCAACACATCAGCTTGTATTTTAGACTCTCACCTGTGTTTGTTATTAGTAGATAGGGTTATATTGTGTGTTAGCTGTAGAATTAACATAGGGTTTAATTTGCTTTCCTAGTTGAATCGAGTAGTTACTGCATCATCTATTTAGTATTCAAACCTTTGTATAATTTACAGCAAAGCCAACAGCCTTACTAAATGAAGTGGATCTAATATACTATGATCTGCATAGATGTAAGTCTATTTTGTGTGCAACAGTAATATTAATATCAAAGTGAATTTATGACACACCTATCTAGAACGAAAAAAAAAAATGATTAATGCTATATCAAGTGTGCAAAGCTTGTGTTAATAAATTTTTGTAATCAATGCAATTTTGTCTACTGTTTGAAAAGTAAGTTAAATGAAATGACATTTGTGCATTGACTAAAAGCTTTAGCTCAATTAATTCTTTATGTTTACATTACTTTATTTCGTCTTTAAAGTTGGATCTATATTGGATATGTTTATATGTACACAAAATTGATGGCAGTTTTTCTTTGTATTTGTTAAGACTAATATGTTTTTTGGATATTGTAAATATTAGTAATTAATACAAATTAGATTTGTTCAAATACATGATGCCAAAGCGATCATTAAATATACAGTTGATTATCTTGATTTTAACATTTGCCCTGGTTCCCCAGTGCCTTTCCTAAGTTGAGTTTCTGTACTATAAAGGAGGATAGCATGAATATTTTTTTTAAACTAGGATTTACATAACATCTTATCTTGATTTTAGCCTTACATTTACTCTGATCTGAAAAACAAGTGTCGCTGTAGATGGAAATGTTTTTTTTTTTTCCAAATATAAAAAAAGATCAGTGGAAAGTATATTCCCAAAGATTCTAAAAGTTCCATCTTAAGTGTTCCACATGAGTATTTACTGCATTGACAGTCAAGTATCTGATGATGGAAGTAGAATGACGTAGACTATGAATCTCTTCTGAAAGAAGACTGATGTGAGTGCATATTATAGGCGAGTGATGCTGGAAATATTATATTCCATTTTTAGACTCCATGGTCTACTGGGAAAAACACAAGCCTGTCTGAGTAATCCTTGTGGGTTTAATGGATGGCCGATGATACTCTCTTATCTCTATCTTCTGAAAAGTAATCTTTCTCCGAACCAACCAAATTACAGCGTAAACCCCCATTTCCATCTTAAGTAACATTATAGAGTTCATTTCTAATGAAAACAAGCCTATACTTCAAAGAACACATCAGTTGTGCACTATGACCTGTACTGAATCACCTTTAAACATAGCAGTTTAACAAACATATTCCCTAAATCACGATAGACAAAGGTAAACTCTCAATTGCTACCTCCTGTAAACTTCCACAACTAATTCTTTAAATCTATTTTCTATGAATTTCAAATTACCGAAAGGGTTTAATTAATTCAGAAGCAATTGTCACCCTATTCACCCCATGCATTTTAATGCTGTGAAATTGCATGCAATATTAATTATTTGATTTGATCTAGTATAGTCAATGGCACCGATCTCATCTGTTTTTTTTAAGTGTCAATAATGATACAGGCAAAAGCTATGTTTTGCATGCACTTTCACCAAAGATGCACAAGTGTGAATATTTGGTTATATGTAGATAAGAACTGCAATGTAGGAAACTAAAGTGGACCTACACTTAAAATCTAAAGCTTGGCTATCTAACGGGCATTCACAAGCACAGTTTATGTGACAATCAGTAAATAAATTAACATTTAGCATATAATTACTGATTAGAAGCAGCAAAGCACTTTGTCACATATGATAGTGGCTGGAAACAATCTGTTCTTCTAGTATCTGAGTAGCCTATAGGAGTTTGATAGGCATATCCTGCCCACTTCTACTTTTAATTGCTGGATTACATTGCTGGTGTCATCAGTGGGTGTGGTCTAGGAATAGGCAGAGCTCTTCTACTGAAACGCTGTGCAGTAGATAACAATGTAAGTCTGTGCAACAGAGTAGTCATGGAATGCCTACTGTTAGTGCTACAGTACAGTATGTCATTCACAACTGACTTGTTTCAAACAATTAAAGGATATGGTTGCTTGAGTCTGGGTTCATTTTGAAATAAAAAGAACAATTATCCATAAATCTAATCATTACTATTGGTATTGCTTCAAACTCAATTTAAAATACACATTATCTATCATGGAAATATGTACCTATTGATTGGCCACATGACAGAAGAATATTATTTTTACTCTTTTTGTACTTCAGTTCTTTTAGGCATGGGCAATTAAATGATAGAAAGAGAAAGTCTTAGGAAAAAGGGTGTGTGCCAAAAGTTTATGAAATAAACATTTTAAAATATGTTGGCAAATATTTAGAAATAGTTGCCCAGAAATATGAACTTTGGTTCAATACATGCAATTGTAACTATCCAGACATAATAATTATAATGATAACATTATAATATATTATATGCCGCACATATAAACTACCTTTTTTAAAATATAAAGTCTTGTACTTCAGATTCAACAAGTATCATATTTTTCTAAAGCACACCCAATTCATGATTATAAGATAAAACTTTTAGAAGCATATGCTCACTTGATAAGTATTTAACATCTCAGCTAGATATTATTGTACTGACCTGTCCTTCCACTTCCGTTGGTCTATAATATGGTTATCCTGGAGTGCACTTGCTTTTGATGCTGGAACATCTGCTTAAGGTACATTGCTGCCTCTCACAAACATAAAACCTGAAATACAATTATAGAAACTTCACTAAACTGCTCTGTGTTAGCTGAGCTGTTATTAAAGCGGTTGTAAACCTCAGGCAAGAAATATGAACAAAGCATATCCCTCTATAGTGTGCTTGTTTCAATCCAGTACAATAAATATAATTTCTGTCCACTGCCTCCTTCCT